TATATAGATATATCTATATAAACAACATTTCGGCCAAATATGTGTTTTTTTTTTAACTATTATTAACTTTGAATAACTGTAGACTTTTCCGTGAATTAGCTGAGCAAAGACCTAATTGAGCCCAACAGTGAGTGAATTCTTGCTTGCTGTTCTGCTACATTAGCTTGATATACAGTGTGTAAGACAGGGTGCGAGACAGGGTGCCTGACTGTCTGTACTTCCCACAAAGACTCTTTGTTGTCAGACAATTGCTCGCTAACGCCAAAATTGGCTTATACAGCAGGGACTGAGCTTGTAACGTGCAGGTCTGCTGTCTGTTTTAATGTTTAAAGTTATGTTTGACAAAATGAGGTCAGATTACTGACATTCTTGTACCGACTACAACCATTCATCCTTAACGGGGGGAAGGTTTGATGTCTCTCTATTCGAGTGTATGTTTCTTGTTGATTAGAAGTCAGATATCTCACAAACACCCCGTTATTTTAAATACCGGAACCACAGCTGTTTTTTCTATGTCAGTAATGCAGTATTTTTGTTCTCTGTGTGTTTATTATCTGTATCTTTCAGGCTCTGGCCAGGAATGTGGCGCGTGTACGAGCGATTTACGCGGCTATCACGTCTACTCTGCAGTACATCAAAAGCTGCTTCCAGTGGGAGAGTGTTCAGAGGAGCCTGCTGGCCTTCCTGGTTAGTGCTTCCACTTCTTATCAACACACTATCTGCATTTCTCTCTCGTTTTTTCCCTGCAAAGACAACCGCAGTCTGGCCAACCCTTACTTGAACTCTCCCTGAGAGAATCTTAATCAATGCAGCGTTGGGTTCAGCATAAACACCGTTGGCTAGCTCTTTGTTGAAGTGGACGCTCTCAGTGTTGCATGTCTCCTGGATGCAGATTTAAGCCTCAGCTGGAGAGAGCGGCGTCCCAGTGGAGTCGAGATGGCCTATTTTCGTTCTGCCTTCCTGACAACTCATTAACCCTGCGTCCAGTCTGTGCACGGTTTGATTTGAACCCCCCGTTATTCAGCCTGAGTTTCAATTAGGAAGCTCTTCGGAGATATGACCGTTTCTCCCTCCTGCGTAATGCTTTTGTGTAGACAGAAACCCGAACGCAGGCTGTGAGTCGTACAATTTAAACTGCAAATTAAAGTGTGGCCAGATATTTTTGTCATTTCTTTCTCTCCAAGATCCCAGTCGATGAAGATGACATACAGCAAGTTTTTCATTAACAATTCAAGCAATCAAGGTCACAGAAAGTTCTTTTTGTTTTTGCGGTTCCCATCCCATAGATGGTGCTAAAGGTTTGCTCTCAAAGGGTGGAGCCCCCCCCCCCTTCAGGGCTGACGTCTTGCCAGTAGCCCAGTTTGCTCAGTTCTCTCAAAAAAAAAAAAAAAGAACAGAAGCTGTAGTAGAGCTGTAATCTGATTGGACTCATGCATTTAGTCTTATATGGCCATAAATGCATCAAACAGGAAGGGGTCAGAGGTCAGTGTGGGGTTTAATCAGAAACCTCTTGAAAGGGAAATATTTAATCTGCATTAAAACACACAATGTAATGGAAAACAATATATTTAAGGAAAAAAAAAACATAAGTATCCCCTTGCATTCACATTTTATTTTAAAGTGGTGTTAATCGTCCCGTTTTAACTGACAGTCGAGGCACGTATTGGGAAGCAGGAATCATCCAAGCAAAAATCAGAGCAATATACAGGACACATATCTTGTGTTTGCATCGCAGCGTTTGAAAGACAGTACCATCTGTACTCCTGTTTTCACACTAATGCCCACTGCCTTGTCAAGCATCGGTGAGAAGAGATAAATGGCCGCCCAATCCCGCCACATAAGCATAATGCATCAAAGCTTCACTCTCCAACACAGGATGCAGTGATGAACCACCTGTACCATCTGCCGGTTGTCACACAAGAAGTTGAAATGTGCCTTAAATCAGCAAGACACCTTAATCCTGACAGCTGAGGTCCTCCCCCTAAACGCTAAAATTAAAAAAAATAAAGTGTTTTCAGTTTACCTTTTGGGCAAAAGTACCTCCTGACTTCCCCGGGTCTCGTAACTGGGCTGGTATTCACTGTGAATTTGCGCCCACATAACAGTCATATTTAAAATGTGTCTCTCATTATGAGAACACTAATTATCAGTTTTAATTTCCTGCATTTGGTTTCCCAATTATGTTTTACACCTATTGCTTGCAGGAAGGCACTCTGGGGTTCCTGTAGGAGTTAGGAATAATTTGCAGCGTTGTTGACTATGCATTATAGTTGGGTAAAAATAAAATATCTTTAAGTTGAAAAGGTTTGATCAGGAAACAAATGGGAAACCAAGAACATCAATATAACATCTAATGCTCATCTTTCCCAACCTTCTTTTTATTCCTGGTGGGCTGCTGGGTGAGATGCCATCAGCATCTTAATGGGTGTTTATGACCATCTTTTCACACGTAGACACAAAGTTTTTAATGTTTAATACCTTAATACACTGTAAAAAAAAACCTAAAAAAAACCTATATAATGTACTTAAAAAAAATAAGGTAACAAATTGCGCTCTGTTGGTTCAGGAAGAGAAACTAGGTAAATTCTGTGTAACATTTCAATAGAATAACCTGGAAGGATTTTCTTCTCAGAAAGGCCTCAGGTTGGGATTAAACTCATGATCTCTGTGCTCCAAGGCAGTAAAAACAAACTGCAGCATCATCCAAGTTCTCTTCAGCACTTGTTTGCGCTGCTTAACAAACAGGGTTGCACACTTAGAGCATGATGATTAGATTCGATTTAGTAAAATTCAACTTTATTGTCATTACACAGGTACAAGGCAACTAAAAACAGTTTAGGTCTAACCAGAAGTGCAATAGCAGCAGGTGCAGGATAAATAATGGTTCCATAAATACAGGACATGGGTTCTACTGCATAAGTATAGCGATGAATACCATTATAAATAATGAATATAATATATAAATCACTAGTGTTATGAACTAAATTTACAGCTGGATATGTACCGAATATAATATACAGGTTTATATTACTATAAAAAAAGGTTTTTACAGTTATGTACAATAGCATATATACAGACGGGTTTTACTGAATTGCCGCAAAATTGCAGAACCTGGAGAGACCGTGAGCCTCGAGATTTACTCGCGCCGCCATCTTGGTCTTTACTCTTCAATGAATCAGAATAAGAGGTGCTGAACTGCACATGCAGTTTTTTTAGTGTGTGAAATAAGTGGGCATACACTGGAAAAATTTTCTAGAAATAAATACAAATTTCTTAAACTGTAGTAGTGTATTTACCCTTAATTTGAGTAGGTAAATTAGATAGTTTGCCAATGGAATTAGTATTTTTACTCTTAAAATAAGATATTTAGATAATGTGCACTTGAAATGAAACAATGCAATTGTATTTTCTTATTTTAAATGTAATTTATCTTGTTCTATTTGCAAAATATCTCTTTTAAGTCCTCAATTCAAGAACCAATGCAGTTATTTTAAGACAAAATGACTTATCTAGATTTAGTTTTTTTTTTTTCCGGTGTCTTGTAGGTGATTGCAAAGAATGCATCACAAATTTTAAAATGTGCAAACTGGTGTGTTTTGACCAATCAAGTGAAGCCCTGCAGGCAGTTAGAGAGTGGAACTAAACGAAAGATGACGTTCAAAACCATGAAGCTGGAGGAAACAAGGATAGAAATGATTTTCAAAAATGGTTATAATTAGGGCTGCAACTAAAGATTCATTTGCAAATTGAATAATCTGTCGATTTTTTTTTTCAATTAATCGATTAACATTCGGTTAGCAAAAGGTTCCTTAAAAAATAGTTTTTGAGAAACTAAACCGGATGAAACTAAAACTTTTACATTTTTGGAGTTCTGGATAGAATATATTTTTATCTTAAATGCAAACTGTTTCCATATTCTTTTACAATTTTGGTATAACTGCTCTAAGTAGGTCGCTCTATCAGCTAAAGGCATGTTTTACAGTCTCTATACTCCAGTTAATGATTAATCGATTTATAAATGAGTTGATAATTATTTAAATAATCAATTAATGATTAGTAATCCGATTGTTTCAGCCCTAGTTGTAATCCTAAATATTTATAAAGCACTTTACATAGTTGACCCATAGCTAAGTGCTACTAGCAATAGCAATGAAAAGGTTAAACTTAAAGATAGGATGAAAAGCTACTTAATAGGAGGAATAGAGCTTTAGCTATTTCACGATGAGGTTATCTGGACGGTTATTGTTAATGAACCCCATTAAAACGTCATATATTGTTCAGTCTAATCCAAGAACCCACCATAGCAACCGCCTTAGCAACCAAACAAAACCCGTGATGTCACACCAGGTGATCAGTTCTCATCTGACAGGAGCTTGAGAGATTTGTTTTTTATTGACACGTTTTTTGATGTTATTATCCGTGACTCAGAGATGTGGAGCAATGCATCGCTCTCAGGTTGGTTGATTCTTTATGTGGCCTGAAAAAAACCCTAAAAATGTTTATTATCATGACGAGATGTCGGACATATGGATCAGGAGTTTGGACCCGTTAGTCGACTGGATTCTGTTCCTGATCTGTTAAAATACTCACTTGACAGAGATTCAAAAGTATTTTTTCATCGCTATCCGTTTCAGTGTGTTTATCCGCCATGTTGGCTAACCAATCAAACGGTTTAATATCTTTATGTTTAAAGGTGGTGAACTGAAAACCCTCTAGCTGCCCAGTAAACTAAATTCTTTACTTTTTTTCAATGTCAATAAAGTAATAAAAGGAGTTTAACAAGCCCCACATCAATCCTTGAATTTCACTGAAAGTAGCTCACTGGAAAAAATCGAAATCTAGATAAGTAATTTTTTCTTAAAATAAGTGCATTTGTTCTTTAATTGAGGAGGTAAAAGAGACATATTGCCAATTTAACAAGACAATTTACGCTTAAAATAACAAAAAAAACAATTGCATTGTCTTATTTCAAGTACATATTCTCTAATTATCTTATTTTAAGAGTAAAAATACTCATTCCATTGGCAAACTATCTTATTTACCTACTTAGAATAAGGATAAATACACTTAATTTAAGACATTTTTACTTATTTTTAGATCGTTTTTGCAGTGCTGGAGCAGGAAGTGGTCATTTATGTTCACAGCCGTTTCCCCACTCAGGAATATCCCTTATTCGGTTGTTCATTAAAATTAGTAGAAATCAGACAATATTGAATTCATGTGTTTGCTTAGTGAGTGTGTGAGCTCTATGTGGGATGCCTTTGTTTTTTGAGACAAACTCTTCCCCTAACACTTGTTTGAAAGTGTTTGGAGTTCAGTAGCTCTCCTAACCTTTTCTCTTTTTCTCCTCCAAGTATTTTCTGAGATCTGGATAATATTCCCAGATCCCCTTTTTTTTACTGCTGAAGTCTATGTAATGCCTTTCAAGTTGAAATGAGCTGCAATTATCACAATCTGTATGATCTGAGTATCCGTTTCCACTAAAGCGTGACTTGGTTTCCCTCACAATCCAGGCTCTCTCAGTCCTCCCTAATAAAACATAACCCTGGCAACGAGAAACCACCTCCACCTCCTCTCCACGGCTCTGCTCTGGCTTATGATAACACAGAGAAGAGTGCTCGGCACATTAAAGCCAGCGCTGCTGTCGGCGGCTGTAGACAGGAGCAGTCTGATCTGATAACTTTTATGTCCAGTGGTGCCTCTGAGGAGAGTGATGTCTTTACCAGATGTTCTCCTCTTTTTTTATTAGCTCAAAATAAAAAATAAAAACAGGTCATTTAAAACCCCCAAACATGTATTTTTATTTTCTCTCTGATGTTTTGGGCCCAGCTTGCTTATCTGCACTGCAAAAATGATCTAAAAATGAGTAAAAAAGTCTAAAAGTAAGTGTATTTACCCTTAATTTGAGTAGGTAAATAAGATGATTTGCCAGTGGAATGAGTATTTTAACTCTTAAAATAAGATAAATAGATATTATACACTTGAAATAAGACAATGCAATAGTGTTTTTCTTATTTTAAATGCAAATTGTCTTGTTCCATTGGCAAAGTGTCTCACTTACCTCCTTAATTTAAGAAAAAATTACTTGAGATTTACATTTTTTGCAGTGTGACATGAATATTTGACAGTAGCATTTAGATCTTGAACTGGAAAAGCTGGATTACTTTGCAAGAATCTAAAAACCGCATCATTTATTTGCTGATTTCTATTATAAATGTGTGCAAAGCTGCTTATTAAGAAAAACACAATTTCAACAATAAAGTTTTCGATTAAATATGAAATGCATTTTAAAAAATACCAATACGTTTGTTTACTAGATAACTCAATAAACGACCCTCCTGCAGCTACTTCCTGTCATCGTCTTTGTCTTTTTTACTAAATAGCAAAGTCTCGCTGATGATCATGTGTTTTAATGGGTAAAAATAAGGAAAAAAAGAGATTTCATAGCAGTTTTGCGAAATAAACAATTTTCCATATCTCACTCTGATAACATTTTATTGCAAAAAAAAAAAGATACTTATCAAAATGTGCACATTTCCATTCAGCAAATTCCATAATTTGAATTTGCAGCTGATGATTTACAGACTGGCTTTTGGTTTCTTTTATAGCTGCATATCTTTAGAGACCTTTCTTTATAATTAGACTGAATTTGAAGTCTGTTTTTAAAGTGAATTTAACTTGTTTCTATGGAAGAGGATTAGGGCCACTGAAAAAAAAAGTAAACTGATTTTTAAATTTTATTTCAGTTTAACATGGGAAAAAAGTCAGAATTCTGAGATTAAAGTCAGAATTCTGACTTTTTTCTCAGAATTCTGACTTTATTCTCAGAATTCTGACTTTTTTCTCAGAATTCTGACTTTTTTATTGTCAGAATTCTGAGATTAAAGTCAGAATTCTGACTTTTTTCCCATACTATACTGAAATAAAATAAAAAAAATCAGTTAACTTTTTTTTTTTTCCAGTGGCCCTAATCCTCTTCCGTATGTTTCATATGCTCCGATCTAAACTAAAGTTATAGGTTTAGGATCAGTGTCCGTCTACATTTTATTCATTTTCTTATTCATCAGGTAACTAATTATTTGCTCAAATCTCAAATACATTTCAATATGCATGAATTTTTGCGGAAACCTTGTAATAGTTCTTTTTACTTTATGTTTGCATTCTAGTTTTTGTTGTTCAAAAACTTTCACTGGAAAAAGGATCTAAAAATAAGTAGAAATGTCTTAAATTAAGTGTATTTACGCTTAATTTGAGTAGGTAAATGAGATAGTTTGCCAATGGAATGAGTATTTTTGCTCTTAAAATAAGAAAATTTGATAAAATGCACCTGAAATAAGACAATGCAATTGTGTTTTCTTATTGTAAGTGTAAATTGTCTTGTTCCATTGGCAAAATTTGTCTTTTACCTACTCAATCCAAGAACAAATGCACTTATTTTAAGGAAAAAACAACTTATCTAGATTTCGATTTTTTTTCCAGTGTTGATATTCACTCAAAGCTTTAAGGTGCACAGGATGTGTAATAGCAATTAGGCGTATGTTCCTAATGTCACCACTTAAGCGAGGGTTTACTGCAGCTAGAGTTGGTCATGGTTTATGTTTAGAGCTAAGATGATTCCAAGATGCTACTCATCAGATCAACCGTTAGCTCAGGATGTCTCGTCCTCCTTCTCTTTGGCTGTGCTAATATTTCCATTCCTCCTGCAGATTTTTCTGCTCACGGTGTGGTACTGGGATTTCTACATGCTGCCCTTCTTCCTGGTTCTGCTCATCACATGGAACTACTTCCAGGTCCGCTCTGGACGAGTCAGTCAAGACGTGGTGAGTCCAGATAGAGCCCTGCCTTCAGCTTTGAAATGTTGCCTACTTTTCTCCACTCTTTTTTTTTTTATCATGTTAAAAATGAGCCCCAATAAACCGTTTTTTTTAATGCTCAAAATCAGATGCTCATACGTTGCCATAGCAACCGTTGGAATATGCCAGTAAGTGTTAATTAAAAATAACAGGATACAAAAGCACAGAAAGCCCACTAAATAGGCTGATATAATAGATTATTATATCGGGAGCTATTTCACAGAGCTTGCCCTTTACGAGCGCAGCTTTCCCTGTCCTCAGTTTTTGTCCCTCCTCAGCTTCACTGGTAATTTGGCAGCAGTTTGGCTCTTGTTTTGGCACTAAATCGAAAAAAAAACGTGTTCATTCTCTCTTCTGAAAAAGTCATGTTTTTTTTTTCTTTCTTAGAGTTAAACTGCTGTGATTCTCCAGAGAAAAAAAGCCCCTCATGTCGACATATCAGCACAGACTGTGACGCTTAGATCTTAATTTGAAGTGTGTTCAGGATATATTCAGTCACTGATTTATATTTTCACCATTTTGCTTTATTTTGTGAATAATCAAGGTTTTTTTTTTGACCAAGTAATACAGTATTTACCAGATAGAAATAAACTGTAACGAGAGGAAGGAAAGATTTTACTCAAGTTAGACCATCACAGCTTTAATGCTACGTTCACACCGGACGCAGCAAGAG